CCGGAACGAGGAGAGTTCACGAGGCTAAAGACGTGTATATTAAAGTAAGGTGGGAAATCTACATGACCACTGGAGCGTTGAGATTATAATTGGTATTTATTGACAAGTTGATGTTAAATATTGTGGTTATTATTAATTATTATTAATTACAATTATATTTTACATTCGTCGTATAGTACACTCACCACACGATCAATGTCCAAGAAAAAGTGAATAACTCCTAAACGCTGATTAGAGCCAGTGTTTTTTTTTTTCCAAGACTGAGATATCGTGATGTTCTGCGGTTATTTCTTATACAATACCGAATCAAAATGAAATGTGGCCTGTGTATATATTTCGATCGGTTGGAAGAGGGAAGTACAACCTCTAAAAGGATTGGAAAGGAGGCTTTGTCGTTGAACTTTTGGCTAGCAAATGATGAAGCTCGAAGAGGTAGAAATGATAGTCTGCGATTAGACGAAAAAACTAGAGTGAAGAGAAGCGTGAAATCTTCAAAAGCATATCCAAACATGTAGACCGATAGTTCGGACGAAACAAATTAGAGCATTGAATAAAGAGCTTTGGGTATGTTGAGAATTCGAAAGATCAAGAGCAAAAAGGTATAGGGAAGAGATTGTCTAATATACACGTATATCTCAATATCCTTGATTCTGTCTAGGCTTCCCGCACTCAATAATCACTCTGAACGTAATGCGGAGCTTTGTTATTTTTTAATGAGTAAAATATGGACTTGGAGTGTTAGGTGGTGGCGGAAATTAAGAGTAGAGCCGCACACTGTATCTATGTTCAGTAACATACCTACATTCACAGTTAAAGCCTTGCTCTCTCCACGTCTGCTTGTTCAGCCATTCCGTCGCGTTCCGCTTTTACGTACGTACGCAAGATAACACCAGCACGGTCACTATTTGCACAGCACAGATCATTGCTTCACACAGCGCGCGGATCATTATTTCCACAGCACGGGACATTGTTTCCGATAGCACAAGATCGTTGCTTCCACAACGCGGATCATTGCTTCAACGGGTGTTTATGAAGAAAAAGGCGAGAGAGCTACGACCAAACTGAGTTTACTCGGAATCGGATCTGATTTATTGGCAGCATTGTGTAAGTTGGAAA